GCCCTTGCACTGCAGGGTCGGGGCGGAATGATAAACAATAACATTCGCTGGTAGACCCTCGAAGAGTCAAAACTCTTATCAAGAACCTTAAGAACCTTTGGAAAACCAAAACAAGCTGTCTAAACTCTTATAACTTACAATTCAAGAACTGGAAACGGAACCCTAGAGAACCCTTAAACGAACCCCAAGTCGGCTTTTTGAAGAGCAACCCTAAACCCCTAGACTCTAACCCTAAACCCCAAACTCTTTCTGAACCCTTTTTTCAGCATGGGCTTTGATTTGATTGGAAAGCCTAAACCCAAAACCCTACACTCCAAAGCCTAGACCCCAAGGAGGCTTTCTGAAGAGCCCTTGGGCTGCCCCTTCTCCCGCTTCCTGCGTCCGCCGAGGCCGGTCTTCTGAGAAGCGCCCCTCGCAGGGCCACGCCGGGGCCTCCGCGAGGAGGTCGTGGGGACTTCGCTAGGGATTCTGGGGTTTAGGGTTTAGGGATTAGGAATTTTAGCGTTTAGGGGTTTTAAGCTTTTCTTTTCGGGTTCAGAAGCATGCTGCAAACGGGATTGGGGTTTGGAGTGCAGGATTTTCATGGGGTCGAGGTTCAGGTTTTTAGAGGTCTGCTACATAAATTTCTCAGTACTTGCTTTGGAGGGCTGGCGAGAATCTTTCCCGTTTCTCCCGCAGTTGTGCTGCACTGATACACTGCCGACCCTTGGACTACTATCTATGCCTGAAAATGATTAAGAAGGTATTACGCTCTCGCAACTCGGACATGCCTGACGAGGTCTCTGGTGCTGTGTGCTTTGACGGGTCGGTACTAGCAGCTGACAATCAATTATCAACAGGGTGTTGGGGTATACTGCATACTATATCGGACGTATATCGAAACTTTTTGGTACATAACTACACTGTTGGGTGCTCCGTCATCCGTTTACTGATGCAGAAACGCTGGCTTTTTGTGAGACCTCTCTGCCCTCCGGCGGCACAAAGCTCTGCCATTGCAGATCTTCTCTCCGCTGCCTCTGGCACGGGGCTCTGGTACGGTTGATGATATAAATCCTGCATTACCCATAATAAGGAATATACCATAATTCCCATAGTTTAGAATCCTTAAGGTAATGCAGGATTTATATCATCAACCGTAGCACTCTCCCAGCCGGCCTCGACCTTTATCTTCGAGAAATTTTTGGAGCTCTTTGATAGGAACTTCGGGGTGCGTTGGCTTTTTGTTCCGCTACAGGGTTCGGGGCTTCAAGTTTTAAAGAAGCCTCAACGAGGGCCTTTGCTTGTCCTCAGGCCACTGGCAGGCGGCTGAGTGCGCCTCGTCGCCCGGTGAAACGGAGCCCTCGCTGCCTCTTAGGGGTCTGCCCTGAGTGGTCTGCACACCCTATACTTTCGGGGCCTTAACGATTAGACTAGGGGTTGTGGGGCATATGCTGCTGCAATCATAATAAGGAACCCCCCAAATAGTATAGGTAATTATTAAGGCCTCTATAGTACCAGGATTTGCTGATGCGCCGACGCAACTCTGGCATATCGCGCTGTAGCGCACCACCAAATGCGCTAAAGCTGATACTAGTACTCGAAAGGCCTCAAAAGCAGACCCCCAAGACTCGAAATCCCAGAAAGCCCTCCTTTCCATTTCATGGAGGGATATGCCTTTCGCTGAAGAAGGAGCATCTTCTCTTGCTGGAAAGAAAGAGACGGCAGGGCTCTCTGGGTCTCTGCGGGTGAAACTGGGTGGATTGCAAGGACTCCATGGAAGAAGCCTAGGACGACCTAAGCCTGTCCTCCTCAATCCTCACTTGAGGGTTTTTCAACCCTGACTTGAGGTTTAGGGGTTTCTTGTTTAAGGATGACTATCACGAGGAAGATCAACATCAATCGTACTATGAACTATTTAGGCCTCTATACTATGCCGGCTTCGGTGCAACAAGGCTTCAACTTCTGCGGATGTGGGCATAGAGGTGCAACGAGAAGCTACGAAGTTTCACGATTCCATGTCTGTTGGAAAAAGAAAACACCCTTGCGGTCCCTTCAAAGCCCTGCCAAAGCCTAAAGCCTCCACACTACAATGGCACGGAATCCTAAACCCTAAACCCTAAACCCTAAACTAAACCCTAAGCCCCAAACCTTAAACCCTAAACTAGACCCTAAATCCTGTGATACTTACAATCCTTCGCGCATCCCTCGTCTCACAGGACCAGTTTCCCCTGCACAGCACACAGCATCCCAGGTCGGTCTCACAGAAGGCATGCTTTGCCCCTTTCTATTGAACCCAGACTCTGCCGATCAGCTAAGCCCTAAACACAAAGCTTCGGGTTATTTTCTGCCAACAGGCCTAAGGTGCAGTAAGGTTTCAACCAAGGCATGTTGGGATGAGCTCAAACAAAATCTTCGCTGTCTCCTAGCCATAGGTAGCTGTACTGTGGAGTATCGAGTACCCGCTTGAATCACGATACGCAAACTTCAAGCTTAGGGCTCGGGGAACAACGACAACACCTAAACCCTCCTCCTACATATCCCTAAAGCCTAGCCTGACCCTCAGCCTTATCTAGGGGCCTGGGCACACTGTAGTCTAGTATAGTCTAGTATAAAATAATTAGATAGGGACTTCAGGTGGATGCAAGTACAAGTCAGACCCCATTAAGCCCTAACCCTCATAGAACCCTTGTTGGAACCCTACAAGGAACCTTTAAGGATTCCGTTGAGGACCAAAGGATTAGAAGATCCAGGAAGCCTTCTTAGCAATCACCCCGACGATACGGAGGAAGCCGGCGAAGTCCATCGCCTCCTCCCGAGAACTTGAGGATTTCAGCGTTTCAAGGCTTTGGGCTTGCGGGGCTTAGGGTGTAGGGTCATATCGCCTTCGGCGACAACATTTGCCTCAGGGGATGGACTGTGGCTTTCGGGATTGAGGCTTCAGCGGCTGGAGTTTCAGACTTCTTGTATTTTAGTACACTTCTGAGTTCGGGATTTATGGGTTTCAGTGGTAAAAGCCTGAAAGACGCCGCGAACGCATTGCAAAGCTGTACCGCAAGTAATCGTGCCCACTTGCACACGTCTCTTTCCATTGACAGTCGGCCCACTCTCAAGATCAAGGCCGAACATATGACCTCAACAGCTACCCATATCTCCATCTTTCCCTCCCTAGCTCTAAGGCCTTATCTAGAGCATGAACACAAGCCCATTGTTTCCATGTTCATGCACCTGAGGATATGCATGCACACCTACACTCGCACGCGCGGAGGTGCGGGCCGGCCTTGCTCGCCTGCGCGTCCTCGAGCGCCTGCAGAGCACACGGCAGTGCAATGCGAACAGCCACAAAGACTCGTTTAGGGTTTAGGGTAAGTTTGGTAGGGCTGCGTAGGAATTTACTGGGACGAATAGGGAATAAGGCATGCAACTGAAAACCCAGACCCGGGCATGCCGAAGACGAAGTGAGAAGGATTACCCACCCACTGTCGACATCACCCAAGTAAGATGACCTGTCTTGGGAAATAGCAATATATACATATATATGTATATACATATATCGGGTCCCTATACAACCAGTTCTTGAAGCTACTCAGCAACTTCTGAAAGCTGGCGGCTGACGCCGCCTCGTTCAAGAGCGCGCTCTGCTCAAGCGAGAGCTTCATGCTCTTGAAGATGTCGCCGACCTCTTGGGCTTCTCAGGAGGTCTGTCAGGGCTCTACCAGGGCTGTTCCTTCAGAAGGTCAAGACGTGCTCTACCCGAAACTCTCTAAATCCTAAACCCTCAAGAGCAAGATAGATAGAAATTGTGTGAACTTCGCTTCGAACTGCATATTCATTCGCTTCGAATGTTAATGAAATGCGTGGGAAGAAATCCCAGCCCACTTCCAAGCCAGTATCCAGAGCCCAGCCCAGCTCAGCCCCAGCCCGGGCCCGAACCCCAGCCCAGCCCGGGCCCGAAGCCCACTCCCAAAATCAAAACTTCAATTCCAAAAACAAAACTCTGTGGAAACTTTCGGTCAAAACCCCGGGCCAACCCTATACGAATTTTACAAGCCCTGAACCCTAAATCCTAAAACGTGGAGTAGAGGTTCGGGCAAAGTGTATAATCGAGAGCTTTCAGCCCGAGGCGGCCTGAGTATCATTGAGCCAGCCGCTGCCGTCCGTGTCGGCCTGGCCAGCTACAGCAATATAGGGGCCTTGATAATTAATTAGAATAGGGTTTTGGGGCCCATTACTGTATACAAAAACTATGGTGAGGAACCCCCCAACATACGCAAGCTATGGGAGCAAGCCGCCTAATTTTGGGTATCTCCTCCTTCTAAGCCTGCCTGTGCACCCACAAAACCCCCAGCCCGCCCTTTTTTTCTAAACCCTAAAGCCTAAACCCTACCCCCCTGCAGAATTCAGAGCGCATCAGGTCGGAGAGGTAAAGCCAAGCCTTCACGAATTGCTCGCGGAACTGCGCCACCTGGAAAGGCATGGCATGAAGGAAAGCTTTAAACTCTGAGGTGCTTTTGCCTCTCGCCTTCGATTTGTAGAACTTCTATACTCATGTTTGGCATTCTTGGTTTCCGTCTGAAAGGTGTTCCGCTGCAGATCCGCCTGAGGGCGTAACATCGTGGAGACAACATGCTTGGCAGACTGAAATCTGCAGGTCAGTCTAGGTCTTGCAAAGCACCTTAACTTTCCAGATTCTTGTGCAGCTGCGATGCAACTCCAAAGCAGCCGTAGGCGGGGCAGTTGCTCCCGGCCTATTGATTGCCTGAAGGGAAAGTTGTCTAGCCGTCTAGCCGTCTTGGCTTTTGCCATGACAGCCGCGCACAGTGCCAAAGTGCAATGCGCCGCTTCACGCACCTGGCTCCCTGCGAGCTGCCAAGCTGCAGGGCACAGAGAGCCTGAAAGAAGGTGCGCGAGACTTCCACCGCGACGGGTGATCTTGCAAAGGCAGAAAAGTAAACAGGCGCTGCCGCTCTGTGCGGTTCGCCTTCATGCCCGCGCCATTCGGCTCTCCAAGCCTGAATGGCAATTCAGAAAGCCCGGTCTCCGACATCCTTCTCCTCCTTCTCACTCTCGGACTTGATTGGAGCCGTCTCAGTAGGCTTCCCCTTCAGGAGGGTCACTCGGGCCCACTCCAGGACCCTCATCGTTGGATCCAGACGCCGCTGGGGATGGTCCACCTTCTCCGCGAAGACCAAAGGCGCGAGGAACATCACGACGATGCCCAGGAGCAGGCCCAGCCAAGCTGGAAGGAGGAAGGAGGCTGGAAGGTAGCCCAGGAGAATCGCAACAACGGCTACGAAGAGTGCGTAGGGAAGCTGTGTCACAACATGGTGGCGGAGGTCACACTTGGTAGCCATGGAAGAGAGGATGGTGGTGTCCGAGATGGCCGTTGCATGATCTCCGAAAACAGATCCCGCCAAAATGGCAGAGACCACCAGCACGAAGATTTCTTGGTCTCCGTTCGAGCTGATCCACGCCGCTGGCAAGACAAGCGGGAACATGATGGACATGGTTCCCCATGAAGTGCCCGTGCAGAACGACATCAGCGAGGAGATCAGGAACGTGAGTGTCGGCAAGGAGCGATAATCCAAGGAATCCGAAGAGAACACGCTGGCGAAGAAGAGGTCGCACGAGACATCCTTCACCGCAGCCCCAATCCCCCAGGCCATGAGCAACACCAAGACCGGAGCAGTGAGGCCCTTCACACCCTCAATCCACACATCCAGGGATTCCTTGAAGTTGAGAATGGGCCGTGGCGCCTCGGCGTCATCTCCATCGATCTGCATGCGGAAATCGCACGCCACCCAGTGCTTCCACTGATTGTAGATCTCACCCTTGTACTGGTACTGCAAACGGATAAAGACCCAGGTGACAACGCTCCCGATGAATCCTCCCCACAAAAGGGCAGAGTAAGAGTCCCCGTTGCCGAACAAGTTCTCTGCAGTCATCTCCTGGCCACCATCCACCGTGGTGTTGTAGCCCGTGACCAGCAGGGCGGCGAACACAGCGATCAGAGTCGAAAGAATTGGCACCACACTGTTCCACCACAACTTGGGCGTGCTCTCCGATGGCTCCATGGATGAATCGAGCGTGACCTCACTCTCCTTGGCCGTGGGTGAAATGACCTGCTTGTTGTCAAAGGCACGGCGCTCTGCCTGGAGCATTGGGCCAGCATCGCGCTGGAAGACAATGAGGCTCAGCTGGAAGACGAGCATGAAGATAGGGTAGTACCGACTTGCCAGAGAGGACAGGAAGATGCCATAGCCGCTTGTGAGACCGGCTTCCGCCAGGGCATCTGTGTACCCCAGCCCCTTCAAGGTCTCTAGCTGATCATTGATGAGGCCGACCTTACCAAACTTAGAAACAGCAGTTGCTCCTTCAAAATGCACATAAAGCTTCATCTATTGCGGTCTGCCTCTTGTAAGCCCCGAGCCTCAAAGCCAATCCAGGAGGAGATCGGAGCCAAGGAAGCAATCGGCGCAGTGGTCGCATCAACGAGGAAGGCGAGCTTCTCTCGGCTCACAAAGAAAGCATCAGAGATGCCTGCAAAGGAGAAAAACATTACTATACGAATATTCCTATGAGTATTATTACTATTAATATTACTATTGCATATTACTACTAATATTGCTGTGAGTATTATTACTATTAATATTACTATTGCTATTAATCTTTCTATGAGTATGAGAACATCACTGGATATCACTGGTCACGCAGGAAGCTAGCGCACGTCCCTGCCCTTCGGCCTCGCATGGTGTTGCCGAGAATCAGCGTGTTCGCATAGTCATCGAAGAAGATCACGAAGCCCAGAAGGTACACTGCTAGCTGGACACCACGTCGCGTCGAGATCCTTTTCAGCATGATGTTGGCAATGCCATGGCCACCGCCCGACTTCTGCACAACTGCCACGAGTCCAGCGAGGAACCAGGAGAAAAGAATCACGAAGGCGTGGCCTGAGTCTGCCAGGGAGTTCACCAAGTATGTGTCCAGCGTCCTCAGGAACGCATCGAAGATGTTCCCCTGATGGACGATGGCCCCGGCCACGAACAAGCCGACCCACAGTGCCCAGAGCACTTCCTGAGTCAATCCAGCCACGAGAACCACGAAGAGCGGTGGCAGCAGGGATACGAAGCCGGAGATCACCCACGCTTCGTATGTCCCCGAGGAAGCTCCAAGGAAGTCTGCGGAGTATGCAACATCCACAGTCAGCTCATGAGTGCCTACTTCGTTCAGCACCAGGTCGCTGAGGGTCAGTGACGTCCGGAGCTCGTCGCCGGAATAGAGGGGGTAGGTCTTTACGCCAGAGACGGACTGACCACCCTTCTGAACCCGCACGTAGATGTTGCTCCCAGCGGCCAAGTTGTCACCGGAAGGGTAGCTCAAGGTAAGGTCCAGCTGAAAACCCACCCCTTCGAGGATCGTAGGTCGACTTCCCTTGACGGTGAAGCTTGGGGCAGCCGAAGACAAGACTGCGCATCCCAGCAGCAGCACAGGGTACCACGCCATGTTGACGGCAGCGGTCAATTGTGTAGTCACTGCAACTTGAGACGCACAAGCACTCAAAGAACCAACTTCAAGACAGCTGGTGTCGAGCGGGCTTCACCCTGCCCATGAATTGAAGACATAGAATACAATACAATACAACACGACACAATACAATACAGTTGCAATACAATACAACACAATACAATACAATGCAATACCATACCACACAATACAACAAAATACCAGACATGCCATACAGTATATGACATAACAAGACATAACATAACAAGACATGACATGCATACATTACATCCATTAAACCTTTCTTTTGTACATACATACGTGCATGCATACATACAATATAATACAACACAATGCAATACAATACCATATGACACAATGTCACATGTACAATACAATACAATCCAATACAATACGACACATCACAAAACATTACATACATACATGCATGCATGCATGCATACATGGTGATACATGCATACATACACACCTACATAGCCCACATATGTATGCTATAACGCATGACTTCGTATGCACTTATTTCTGCATCTAGCTGGACACTTCTACTTAGCTTTTCAACTAACCATCTGTTTTTTACTTGATGTGCATTTTGCTGTCAAATATTCAAAGCTGGTTCACAAAACCGCTGTCTGAACCTCCCGTCCTGGCCTGCGCCGAGGTGAAACCCGCCTGTGCCAGAGGGTCGCTTTTGTTTTGGGGGTGAAGGCCTGGATGTAGAAATCTCGAGCTTCAGGCTCGGGGTTTAGAAATGAAACATCTTGAGATCTTGGGAAGTTTCAGCTGGGGTATATACCCTTAATATAGCTATTATATACCCAATATATAGCCCATTGTAGGGCATGGGGCGTCGAGACTTGACCATAGAGCTGCAGAGGTCCAGAGGGCTCGGCGTCAGGAGGCTCAAGGGCTGCAAAGGCTCTCCATGAGCCCTGAGGTTTAGGGTTTAGGGTTGAGGGTTTTTTTCCCTCCTACCTGGCAAGGACAAAGCCCGCATTGTTGAGGGTTTAGGGTTGAGGGTTTAGGGTTTAGGGTTGAGGGTTTAGGGTTGAGGGTTTAGGGTTTAGGGTTGAGGGTTTAGGGTTTAGGGTTGGATCCGGAGTAAGACCTTCGCATCGTCTCATTGCGAAGGAAAGGCTTCATTCATCATGATGCTTGAGGCTCGAAAGTTCTTGACTGTAAGACCGTGCCCAATGCCACCTACCCCCACCCACGTCAAACAAGGTACTTCACCTCTGCACTCTGATCCGAAAGAAGTCTTAATCGCACCAAGCTGCCCAACACCACCTGCCTCCTTGATGATGTGATCCTCTTTGGCCCATGCTTCCTGCACATTTGCCCGCAGAGGCTTCGACTCCCCGCTTTTCCCTCTTATGGTGCCCCTCTAGTAGCCTTAGAGTACTCTGATAGCACCCTTAATATACGGGCCTTAATAATTAGAAAAGGGGTTTGGGGTAAATTATATTACTAGTATAATAAAGAACCCCCAAAGTAGTATAGGTAGTTATGTAGGCCCCTATAGTAGTACAGTTCTGCTCTGGTACCTCATGAGGCTCCCTTGCTGTGCGACGTGCGGATTCTCTGATACGCGGTTTGATAGGGCGTTGGTATCCTACCATTACGGGAATCATTCTTTGTATTTGCAGTAATCGGGATTATAGGGGAACCATACAATATACTTGTTATTCAGACCTTTGTAACCTGGACTTGGAATGTCGCTTCTGTGGCTTTGGGCCACAGTCGGAGTCGTCGCGCATGTCCGAACCCGAAGGGTTTGCGGGAGTACAGTTGCAGTCTTCGCCAAGACTGCAGGCACTGAAGAAAGAGCTGCGAGGCTGCTTGAATGTGAGCTGCGGGTCCTCGGATCGCGCATCATCGTACCTCAGGAATTATTACGGAATGCGACCACTGCACGCAAGAAAGATGCCGCGCCACGAGGTTACCAACCCAAGGGATATTGTATGCATTCTAAGCATGCCAGGATCTCGTAGGGCAACATCATCAGACAGACATACAGTACAGAGCTTCTCGTTTTTTAGCGCCTGCAAGAGCTAGATCTAGATCCTGACAGTACTTTAAGCTATAAACCTTTCATTTCAGCCTTCTGCTTGAAGACCTCAAACCGTAAACCCTCATGCCCTAACGCCCCAAACCGCGCAAGGCTCCGGCAAGCGCACCACCCAGAACATCTCGGCCAGCCCGAGGCTGCCTTCCACCAGATTCTCCTCATGCCAGGCTTAGAGGGCTTTGGCGCTGAACATGCTGCCTGCGTGGTTTTGGAACTTCTGAACGAAGGTAAGCCACAAATCCAGTTGCGAAGATCCAAAACAGCGGGAAAGTTCGCAAGCATCCTAGGGCCCTGCCGAAACAGGTTCCCCAACAATTCCGTAGCAAGCAGGGCGCCCTCCTTCCCTCTACTCTGCTCCCACGGACAATCTAAGACATGCTCTGACCTGTGGATCATGTACGTTCCATAGCTTTCCACGTTTTCGCTTGTTTCCGGAAGTCCGTTGCATCTTGCAGGCTCGTGGAGAACAAATTGGAAGACTCTTACGGCGTCGTCGTAGTCGTCGTCGTCCCAGTGACACAGCAGTAGTAGCAAAAGTCGCCGTCGTAGGGTGAGAAGTAGGAGTAGGTGTTACAGTAGGAGTAGGAGTGGGACTGGGAGTTGCGGCAGCCGCAGCGGCAGCCGCAGCAGCAGGAGCACGAGCAGGAGCAGGAGCAGGAGCAGGAGCAGGAGCAGGAGCAGGAGCAGGAGCAGCAGTAGCAGTAGCAGTAGGAGTAGGCGTAGGAGTGTAGCAATAGCAGTCGCGTTAGAGTGGTAGTAGTAGTACTACTACTACTACTACTACTCCTCCTCCTCCTGCTGCTGCTAGTGCCAGCGCTAGCGTTGGTGTTACAACTAATGCTACTGTAGCGGGCTAGGGCTGAGGCTCGAGGTAGTGCTACCACTACTCGTGGTAGTCATAGTACCAGAAGTCGTCGTCGTCGTCGCCGTCGTCGTCGTGGTCGTCGTGGTGGTGGTGGTGGTGGTGGTGGTGGCGGTGGTAGTGGTGGTTCTGGTAGTGGAAGAGTAAGAGTAAATGTAGCCACAGTAGCAGCAGGAGCAAAGATTTCATACTTGTCGTTTTCGACTTTAGCAACGATTGAAGGCTCCGACGGGAACCACACTTGTTCGCACACTCCTAACTTTTTCCACGTAAAAGCCTATGACGCCCTTAAATAACAGCCCTGTAAGACTCTAAAAGAAATCCTCTACAAATCGCATGAAAGCCCTACAACATCCGACCAAAAATCATGAAGAAGATGCCCAAGACCGTTTGTCCTTTGCCCTTATTCATTCGCCAGAAACTCTCAACCCGGGCATGGGGCACCTACACACTGCCCATTTGAAGCCCTAAACTTTCACGAAAACAATCTCCTAAGTCACACTCTTCGCTGGCCTGAATCAGCTCCTGGATCTTCTGTTGTGCAGCCTGGTAGGGTTGAGAATTTGGGAGTTCCTCCTCCGCCCCCACGTCCGGTTTAAGGGTTTAGACTCTCCCAGACTGCTGGCGCCAGAGGCCGGCAAGGCTTCGCGGCGACTGAGTCCATCTATCACCCTAAACCCTAAACCTGTGTTTATAGCTTGGGTTTTGGGTGTTGGATTTCGACTTCGAAGCTTGGGGCTAGAGTTTAAGCTTAGGGTTTAGGGTTTAGGGTTTGGACAAGGTCCGGTTGTGGGGCTTGCGAGATTTCTGGGCGGCGGGGACACATAAGACCCCCCTTGAGGGGCTCTGTACGAGCTATTTATCGTATTTAGACCCTGAACACTTGAGATGGACTCGGGTTTGGTCATGAGGGTAGTCCTCGGGTTCAGGGTTTAGGATGCAAGGCTTAGTGGAGGGTCTGCACAGGAAAGACGGAATCCGAAATCTCCACTCCAAACTCAAGACCTGAAAGATTGATAATAGATGTCCCGTCAGGTGAGGTGTTTGATGACCGTACTGGCATGGGCTGTTGAGTGGCCGCGTTCGTACTCATCAGCTTGGCGACAGACGTGGCTTCCTGGGATACCAGACCGTTGCTGAAAGCATCATTCGTGTGCTCAGACCCACTACTGCTACTGCTGCTGCTACCACTACCGCTACCACTGCCACTGCCACTGCCACTACCACTACCACTGCCACTGCCACTGCCACTGCCACTGCCACTACCACTACCACCACCACCACCACCACGACTGCTACTACTACTACTGCTACTACTACTACTACTACTACGACTACTACCCTATACTTCGCTCTGAAGAACTCACAGCCTGCGTCTGCTTGGCGGACTTGAAGAGATCGTACATGAAGCGCCTGGGAAGCGACAACACGGAGAGACTGCTTGTTTGGCCTCTCGCACCCGGGATCAAGAGGGTTTAGGGCTTAGGGTCCAAATAAATCAGGGAAGTCGAGGCTTCCAGGCTGTATGTCGGGGCTTCGGAATTTTAATCTGCAGCCTTTTCAGATCTGTCGGCGACGCCGCAGGCTCACGACTTGCGCATGACCCACATCTGATGCTGTCGTCAAGGCTGCTGTCAGTTGTTTCCCTCATGCTTGTTCCTTGCCAGCACCGGCCTGCAACAGCAAGCGGGCTACTTCGGCATGACCCCAGTCAAATCCGCTTTGCGCCGTCGACGCCCGGCTTCCAGCAGCAAACGGCTTACTTCGGCATGACCTTCATAAGTACTATACATTGCCCTCATGAAAGCTGTGCCGCCGCCACGGGCCATCACCTTGGTATCGGCACGGGCTTTCAGCAGCAAGCGGACTGCTTCGACAGGACCTCTCCCAGATGCCGACATCAAAGCTGTGTAGCCGTAGCCGTTCGTCACGTTCGTGTTGGCGCCGCCTTCCAGCAGCAAGCGGACTACTTCGACATGACCTTTCCCAGATGCCGACATCAAAGCTGTTCGGCCGAAGTCTGCCACGTTTGTGTCGGCGCCGGCATCCACCAGCAAGCGGACTGCTTCAACATGACCGTTCTCAGATGCCGACATCAATGCTGTGCAGCCGCCTCTGTCCTTGGCATCTGCGTTGGCGCCGCCTTCCAGCAGCAAGCGGACTACTTCGACATGACCTTTCCCAGATGCCGACATCAAAGCTGTGTAGCCGTTGCCGTTCGTCACGTTCGTGTTGGCGCCGCCTTCCAGCAGCACGCGGACTACTTCGACATGACCTTTCCAGGACGCCGACATCAAAGCTGTTCGGCCGGAGAAGTCTGCCACGGCTGCCACGTTTGTGTCGGCGCCGGCATCCAGCAGCACGCGGACTGCTTCGACATGACCGTTCTCAGATGCCGACATCAATGCTGTGCAGCCGGCTCTGTCCTTGACATCTGCGTCGGTGCCGGCTTCAAGCAGCAAGCGGACTACTTCGACATGACCTTTCCCAGATGCCGACATCAAGGCAGTGTGGCCGATGATGTCTGTCACGTTTGTGTCGGCGCCGGCATCCAGCAGCAGGCGGACTACTTCGGCCTGACCTATGTCGGATCCCATGACCAAAGGTGTGTTGCCCCTCCCACCCGCCACGTTCGCATTGGCGCGGGCCTCCAGCAGCAGGCGGACTACTTCGACATGACATCCGTGACATGCCTGGATCAACGCGTTAAGATCGCCAGCGCTATCTCCCAGATTCGTGTCTGCTCCGGCCTCGAGCAGTAAGCTCACGACTTCGACACGACCTCCGTAAGATGCTGCCATCAACGCTGTGACTCCCTCCGTCCGCATCAAGTCGGGATCCTGGGGCAGCTGCAGCTTGGACTCCACCTCCGCCTTGGAGCCGTGATAAGCAGCGGCTACAAAGTCATTCACCTGCTCCTGAGAAACCTCGGCGAAGTTCAAGAGAACGAGATCCAGCTCCATTGAGCAGTCCAGCTTGGCAACATCCGCCAGAACCTTACCATCCAACAGAATCCTCTGCCGAAATCCCAGAGGAAATCCATGTAGGTGACCCAGGTGTCGCTTCAAGCCCTTGACGTCATCGATCTCCATCTCCTCAAGAGGTATGGCCATGTCTCCACCAGAGAGCATTCTCACATGCAGCATCTGGCAGCAGCCTCCGGATGGTAGAATCGGACACTTGCCGCGGCTAAGCCAATTTTGGCCGCAGCCTTGGCTTTGGGGAAGCCTCTGGCTCTACGCTTCTTACCGGAACTGGGCCCGTCTTTCGCCGTCATGGGAAACTCACCGACGTAGGACCGGCCCTCTCACTTCTACTACTTCTACTCCTTCTCTATAATTTCAAGCTGCACTTACTCAAGTTATAGCGCCTCAACAGTCTCTGCCGCCCAAACCCTGGAACATCCTAAGATTAGATTATACGATGTTATAATGTTATACTATACTATATGATAGTACACATTATGTGCGATCTAGAACCGGAACCCCCAAATCCCAAGGATCTCGAAGCCCGTCCCCTGAAGTTCCTCATGGAAGGTGTCTTCATTAGACCTACAACTCCTTTCCGAAAGGATTTAGGGTGTCTCGTACTACCAACATCAGATAGGGTAAGCTTTGCAAAGGGAATCCTCCGACTCCCGTGTGCCTGGTCGGTTTGTGCTACTAGACCCTGGTTGTCGGAAACTCCGTGAGAAAAGCATAGTATGCGCCCAAGTGTCTGACGGTGCGCAGCTTAACCACTCAAAATACACTGCACTACTTGGAGGATCATGGGACTTAGTAAGTAAGGTTATAAGTACCTTAATTGGGGTTATAAGTATAGTTACCTTACTTATAACCCTAGTTACTAAGCCCCATGATCCTCTAAGTACCCTCCCAGATCCTTTTAAAGCCAGACTCTGCCCTGAACTGTGACCACCGATTTTCGGTTAAGGAGTTTAGGGTCTAGGGCTTAATCCTATTAAAACCGGGGTCTTTCTAAAGTGCCGCCCGATGGGCCGGGTCTAGGGGTGTAATCTTAAACCCTAAACCCAAACTCCTTCATGTTCAGGGAGTTCAAAACCTTGTTGCTGAGTTCATAAGCCCCAAGAAGTGTATACTTTTAGTGTTACAGTGGGTAATATGATCCCAAAAAGTGTAAAGTGTATCCACTCAGCTACTAAGAAAAGGAAGGCACCCAGATCCGAGGCCCCAGCTCAAACTCCTGTGGCTCCACGCGCTTGCCGGCCTCGGGCAGCCCGTGGGGTGTGCTCCCTTCTATGGGTTACGAGAAGGGTCCCTAATATGGGTTGCTAGAAAGGGTCACTGACGTGGGTTGCTATAAGGGTCGCATATGGGTTGAGGGGTTCACTTGGGGGTCCGGTGGAGTTCTTGGCTCTAGGGCAGGTTTGTATAGGGTCTGATTCAAGTTTCGTTAACATGGGGTTTGATAAAAGGCTTTGTATCATGCGGGGTTCTGCAAGGGTTCGTTAGATTTGCTAGTAGAAAAGCTATATGATTGTTGTGGTAAACATAGATCTGGCATTCCACCTGCGGGATGCCACACATATAAAGCCTCTCCACAAAGCATGGAGCAAGCCTATAAACCAGACCCTATGAAACCCCTACAGCACAGAGCCCACTCTTATGACTGTCACAATGCCCCTAAACCTTCCTATCAACTTGGCAAGAAACCAAAAAAAACGAAAAGATCTATACCCCTTTTTTCAGCACGGACTGAGGTGCCGGCCAGCACCCACGAAACTTGCAGCCCCGTTTTAAGGCAAGAGTTCGAAGGAAAAGCTGTAGAAAACAACGGACTGAAGCTTAAGCTGTGAAGATCCCTCGAGAGGAAAGAACAATCGCAATCACTGCACCATCTGTTCAAGCATAGATCGATACCCCTAAACCCTAAACCCCTAAACCCCTAAACCCTCAACCCTAAACCCCTCTACCAAACCCCCCTGTAGAACAAAAAGCACCGAAGCCGGCCTCGAGTTTCAGGCCGAACTTCGACCGGATCTTCGCCACCTCCCGCCCACGCAGAAGTCTTAAGGTTTAGAGTTTCGGGTGGGTTTTAAGGGGTTTAGGGTTCAGGGTGGTATGAGGGTTCTACAAAGGATTACAAAGGATTGTGCAAGGTTGTCATGAGGGCTCTTTAACGAGTTTTGTTAGGTTCTTGACGGGGTTTCAGAAGGGATTCGATCAAGCTTTCGGACGGACTGCAATGTTGACGAGGCTGCGTATAAAATAATACTATGTTGACGATCACTACTGTGCTAGGACTCAGGATGTTTTTGTGAGCAAACATGTCGGAGTTTCTTGGTGCAGCATTTTTTACGTTTTAATACAGGGGCCTAGATATTCGTTCACACTACTCCTTATGGCTCCTTATAGTTGTACTATACTGCACACCGAAACCCTACTCGCCACCCTGTTGGTGGATGCAGCCTCGACTTGCACATCATGCTTTTCAGCTATATGGTAAAATATGAGGGTATTACGTATTACTCCGAACCCTATAATTAGTAGAGGGCCCCGAATGGCCGAGGCAATTATGCTATCGGCTTTTGATGCGTGCCGCTCGCCTAGAATGCCCACACCCAACAACAGCGTGGGACCCAACCACAGTCGAGGAGCCGATTGGATAAGTTTTAACGTATGAAAAGGGACCCACGGAATCATATGAACCCTAAGGAAGAATGTTTGGTACTGCTTCCGATTAGGTTGAACTTTCAGCACCGAAGCAGGAGAAAGGAAGCCTGTTGATCAGAAAGACCCGCAGACTGACGCAGTTTCTTCACCTCGGTCGGGTTCAGGGTTGCTGGCGTTTTTTGGGGGAGCTTGTATTTCCATTGAGTCGGACTTTGAGTCACGGGCGACGAAAGGGTGACTCCCAAAATAAAGCCCAAAACACACCCCAACATTCCTTTTACATTCACCAAATCCGTACTTCACGTGCTCTTCTCAGGGCTTGACGTGTCGAGTAGATTAGGAATCATACCTCCAAGCTCTCGGCTCGATCTGCGACGAGACTGTCTGAGGCGCTCAAAACACTTGACCCGCACACTAAGGCAACATGATTTAACGCTCACTCGAGCTCGTTTCACTTTACTTAAGCCATGTTGCTTTCGAAAAGCACGGTCGGACGATCGCAACCCCGCATGTGGGGATGCTCAGAGAACGTCCCCCCTTTAGAGCGAGGAGCTATGCAGCAACCCGTGAAAATTCCAGGCTGAAGGCCCACGAGGGGAATAATATAGGGGCCTTAATAATTAGAGTTGGGTTTTGGGGCCCATTATACGACAATTATAATAAGGAACCCCCCAAAATAGTATAGGTAATTATTCAGCCCCGCATGGTACTGTAAGTACAGACGGACCACAAGGGGGATGCTCTGACCAACTACTCCGATCCCCATATTACTGCAAGACCTTCCCTACACCCTGAGAAACAAGCAGCAAGAATGCGGACGAGGCTGCTCTGTCTAATCATCACCACCACCGCTATCACATCTGTCCCGAAACTCCAAACCCTGATCCCCAAACCCTACAGCCTCATCACCACAACCCACAAGCCAAACCTTGCACCCGATTCCCCTACAACCAAAATCTACAAGAATGTCCACGAAAAAGCCATGGCAAACCTGGTTCCGTCCGGGGGTCCGGCTTGACTCTCCTCAGCAAGGCGCTTCGGGGTGACGTTCTTCGGCTTTAGGGCCCTCTGAATTTAGGCTTTGTGGGTTCAGAGTTCCGGGAGGTCTGTGGTTTCAACTCGGACAATCCAGGCGAAGTCTGTGATTTGCAGTAGGGGTTCGGGTTGTGGCCCTCTAAAAACTCCAGGAAAGCCTGACCCTGACTTTCCCTTTTCCTATGAACTATATATGTTCCTATGAATTGTATGTTGCTCAGGGCTTTGCTGCATTGGGGCCTAGCTCAACCGAGAACCAGAAGCGCTCCCTGAATAAGTAGAAGCCGGAAGTCCCGGAGGAACCGGAGGATCCCGAGGATGCCGTAGATATCGCTTTGGCCGTCGCCTCTGTCTCTCGAGCTTTCGGGCTCAGGAAGGCGCGATATTCAGGGTTTAGGATTTGATGGGTTTCGTTCTTTGGCGGGTTTCAGGTTTTTGATTGCTGGCTTTGGTTTTGTGTGTATTTTGGTGTAAATCTTCGGGGTTCAGAGCTTTCTTGTTGAGGGCTTTGGGTTGCATGAAGGGCCTCCCGGCAGAGACAGTCTCGAGAGGTCTTGCCAGCCGGTAGGGTTTAGGGCCCCAGGATTTGAGGAGGTGCTTCTGCGCTTTGTTTGGGCTGCGGACGTCGTTGAGTGTTTGTCTCGCCGGGGTGTTCAGGATTTTGGGTACTCATCATCACCCTCATCGCCCTCGTCATCGCTATCGTCATTAGCATCAGCATCAGTAGCGGCAGCACGTTTCGAAAACTTACAAAAGCCAACATGACCACCTCACCATCATCGACTTCATCACCACCATACCACCATCACCACCATCATCAACACCGTGATGCTTCAGGGATTCCCTTGCTACCGGCTGCTGGTTCTCAGCATTGCTTTCTCGTGCTGTCGAAATACTGCCACTACATACCACATTACCGAAGATGTTCTGAGGCCCCGCTTCCCCGCAAGCCTAGTGTCCTAGACCTTTTCGCCCTGTTCCTGCAAGTCCTGAGAACGGATCTCCCACACCCCTATGCTGTATTTAGTCCTACGGCAACCCGACGCACAAACTCCCCTGTCCGGCTGAGCATAGATGCCAAAGTAGAAATCACCAACCCACTCTTCGCAATCAAACTAGCAACAGCGACGCTTCTAATAGTAGCACTACAAAATGCAAGCAATAGAAACTAGCCACCTGCCTGTGGAGTCACTTGGGAGCTCGAGCGCCTGTTCTGAGGCAGCTCAGAGAGGGTTCGAACATGGCCTTATTGTTTATGGTTCAGGGTTTTGGTCTCTCATGACCGTTTTTGCAATTTCGAATCTTTTTTGTTTCAGGGTTTGGAGTTTCCTGTTTTAGGGGCGGGGGTTCAGGGATACTGGCTCAGTGTTTTGATGTTTGGGGCTTGGTTAGGTTGCTGTGGCTTAGGCTGTTGGGTACTCTCTCTCATATTCGGACAGCACCAAGCGAGTCTTTCAGGGTCAACGTAAGCCACGCGCCCCGAAAATCGAATTCACCTCCACGCCCTAGATGTCCTCAGCGTCAGTCTTGCTGTGACCAACTGTTACCGAAGCGTGCCTCAAGCCCAAAACCCAACGCATGTGAAACCTAACCCTAAACCAAAACAAGGTGAGCCAGGCCAGAACACGAAACCCCCCAAAACCGAAAATCTTTGCTGCGAAGCCTGAGATGTAAATACTTGAATCCTGAATCCGAAAGTTTATTAGGGGCTCAGGCAAAACCAACCAAAAAAAAAACGAAACCGGGCCTCCGCGAGGATCGCGGGGGAGGGCGAGTAGCCAAGCCTCGTTCTCTCTCTCTCTCTCTCTCTCTCTCTCTGTCTGCTGTTACGTCCAGAGTGTCTAGCCAAGCCTCGTTGTAAGGAGCTTTTTGAAGGGCTCTCTAAGGGTCTCGTGAGGATTTTTTCGAAAGGCTCCCAGAAAGCCCAATACCGCTTCAGCAGAAAAAGGTGTGACTCAAACTATTCCTTGGAAGCTTAACGTGGTTTGAAGCATCGTCTCGACCTAAAGCGTACGTGGTTGTTTGTGTGTGTGCTCGCGCAAGCCTCGAAACCCGAGCGTGAAGCCCCTGGCCTCGAATTCTGGCACAAGCAACCAGGAACTCTAGGACTTAAGGATCGGATCCTCATCCTTTTTATTCTTATTATTATTATCATTAATACTAGTATTGTTATTTCTAATACTAATACCCTAAACCCTCAGCCCTAAACAAAACTAAGAACAAAGCTCCGATTACAAACAATGGTTAGGTCGTATTTGTTTCGCCTTGCGCTCGCCTGGTGTCGCCGTTGAAAGGAAGCACCGAGACCTAGATTCAGGGCCTCGAGTGGGGTAGGGTAGGGTAGGTAGTAGTGAGGGTAGGGTAGGGTAGGGTAGGGTGGTAGTAGGGCAGGGTAGTAGGGTAGTAGGGTAGAAGGGTGTCACTCTCACAGCCTGGGGTTCAGTGCCTGGAATTTTTCCCGGCGCACCGATCTGACAGAGTCGCACCGCAGGGAATTCCCCCGAACTGAACTGAAATGGATTTGGGGCTTCTGAAGGCTTACCCTGAAAGCCGCAGCAAAAATCCGTAAGGAACAAACCGCTACATACAACACCCTCGCAAAAGCCCGAAGGCACCCTTGCAGGAGCTCCGTGAAGCTGAAGGGAGATCCCTGAACCCTTTTTGCATCCAGGCCTCTGGATCCCTGAACCCTAAACCCCTAAACCCTTTGATGAAATAGTGACGATTCCTCCTAGTGAAGTCTCAACAGACTCCGACCCATATGCCTCGCCTGGATTGTCCGAGTGTGAGCGCCCAAACCCCTGAACCCGAATCGGGATCCGGCTTGTTCAGCATCTGCTTGAAGTCGGCCTCCGGAATCTCAGGGCCTGGGACCGGAACTTTGAGGGTTTGAAGTCCCTCAACCTCGGACCAATCCGGGTCAGGCTGTTCGGGTGGGAACGACGAGCAGAAGAACTGCACTGACTCGCGAAGCTTCAGGGTCCACCGGGTTTCGAGTTCAGGGTACACGTGGGTGGCTGTCAATATTAGGGTCCCTTTTTGGGTGCCTCTGATAATACGGCACCTAATACTGTAGTTAGCTACCAAAACGGGGCCATAATTTTGACAACTACCCATACGAATCCTACTAGTATGGGGTTGTAGGCCCCAAGTTTCTGAACCAGGTTCCTAAATTTGACAACTACCCATGTGCTGCATAGGCCTCACTCGGACTGGCTGGCTGTGCTCGGCCCAGGAGCAGTGCTCACTGTTGGCATAACTGAAGGGGGTGGTTGTCAAAATTAAGGTCCCTTTGTTGGGTACGCTAAATAATAGGTGCCGTCTTCCAGGGACCCAAAAAGGGACCGTAATTTTGACAACCACCCAAGGGCTGTCAGGGACGGAAGGATACCGCGAATCATTCAGACCCCTATCACGGAAGTTGACCCTCAGGACCACACTACTTGTAGCTTGGGAATTGCCCCCTCCGACGGCTTCCCAGTCCTAGACCCATCACCTGCAAACCCCCAAGCTTCCGGATCCGAAACCCGCACTGCGGGCCAGTGGCCCGAGTTGGCATGCTGAAGCTTCGCCACCAGGATCTGGGAGGCAGACGTCTCCTCCGCAAAAGACTGCAGGAATGCTTGACCAATCTTCAATGCTGCAGAAGAATACGACCGTCATAAATGACAGTGGACAGCAGCAGTAGTAGTAGGAGGAGGAGGAGGAGGAGGAGGAGTACCAGTAGCTCCATTTCGGTCACTGTGACGCTACTGCGAAAGTAACAAGTCTTGTAAATGAAACTTCGAGTTTCGATAGTCGGGGGCTTGCTGCACTGGACTCTTCATCTGCAGTGCCTGAAGGGTCTGCAGTGAAGATTCGGTTTTGCGCCAGATCTGATGCTGATTCCACCCTTTTTAAACGAAACGCCCGCAAAAGATCTGATCTCAGCTCTTCCTGCCCTCCTCCTTGAGTTGGGGCGGCTCTGCTCTTGGCATCGGGCAGGATGCAGGGCATGGATTGGGGACCAGCCACTTAACAACGAGGTCCTTTACGGCTCCCTGCTGCCATCACGCTATGAACTTTTCAGGGGGCTGTGTAAGCTCTTATGCTACCCAAGTGGCCCGAAGAAGCACTACGACGGCCCAGCTTGGGCGACTTACAATGCCCGCTCACAGTTCGTCCAGCGGGCGTCTCGGCCCAGCAGCCTGCAGCAACGGCACCACCGGAGCACCGCAAGACGATTCTTACTATACGTTACAATAACCAACAATTAGCCTCTCCAAGACCTGGAGAAGGGCAAGTTGCACTACTTGTCAATGTGAGGCGGGATCGTCTGAAGCAGTCGCAGGAGTAGCAGCCACCGCAGTCATCCGCAGTCGTCCCCGTAGCGGCGGCAGCGGCAGCAGCGGCAGCAGCGGCAGCAGCAGGACGGGCGACGTGAGAAGTGAGCCACAGGCAACGGTAGGAACAGCAAAAGCTGGAGCAGAAGCAGCAACAACAACAACAACCACCACCACAACCACAACGACAAAGACAAAGTAACGACAACACCAGCAACCGCAACAAAAAGAATGGTCAAAACCATAGCCAACCCGAAACGAACACGAGCACAAGGACAGTACCGAGGATGATGGTCATGGCAGCCGTCACGACAGCGGCCACAACGGATGCCCAGGCTGTCGATGAAAGTGCGGGTGATGGACGCCATGACGGCGATGAAGCATTTGACCAGTGCTTGTGGGGATGGCTTGGCGAAGGCAGTAGCAACGATGATGCATACACTGGTGGGGCAATGCAACTATACAGGACAAGCTGATATAACCACAAAAAAACATATCAGTGGCCAGTGTCTTCTGGAGGACTCACATTATCGAAGGCTTTCGGCAGAACCGGTTGTTTATGCATCGGAGCTATGCAACCTTACAAGAACCCTTGGACACCCTGCAACACGATGAATAAGCGTGCCAAACAAGATGAACATCAGAAAACACCCCTGAGACTTGAGCTAAATAGCAGCGCCTTATCTGCACATCCGTATTTCTGAATTCAACATCTACCCTGACCCCCTCCTCGGTTTACGGGCTTAGGAGGCTTAGGGGTTAGGCTAACCAAACCCTGAACCCTCAACCCTGAACCCCAAACCCCTCCCCTTATAGAGCCCAGCTCTCTGGGATAGGGAGGGTTGATGATTTAGGAGTCTCCGAAAATAGGGGACCCTAATATAGTACCCTAAATAGTAGGATCCTTATTATAAGGAGCCTACAGTAAGGTACCCCTAATTTTCGGAAACTCCCATGTAGGACTCCTCTTATAGAGACCTCCCTTAAGAGAGGAGCCCTTCGAAGAAGCCGCTTTCGCCTCAAGGGCTCGAAGGAGCTCGGCGGTGCAAGCGGCCGGGTGCTTCAGCTGCGCCTACAGTAGAAGCCGGAAAGTTGGAATATCAATATCGTAGCCCTTTTAAGGTAAATTATAGGGGATCCTATCATTAATCCATATTCCAGCTTTCTGGAGTTCCCTTTAATCAGGGTTGAGGGTTTATTAGTTAGGGGGTAGGGTTGAGGGTATACCTCCACTAGGTTAGCCCCCTGTGGTATTTGCCGCTACTCACTCCTAACCAAAAGGAGTGTATCTTCCCCACCCGCCCAGCTGACAGAGTCGCGCAGGGAATTCGTCCGAAACTGGCCACAGAGAGATCTTCAGTCGCAGGATCAGACTTGCGAAGATCTCTCTGTGGCCAGTTTCGGATAGGGTTTAGGGTATAGGGTTTTTCCCTCCTGCCTAGCAAGGACAAAGCGCGCATTGCAGGGTAACTCCGACGTCACATAGGGTTTAGGGGTTAGGGTTGGGTTTAGGGTTTAGGATCCATACCGGTTGGTAGTAAGGTTTAGATTCTTTAGATGTTGTACTTTTTCCCCAAGACCCAACCCTCTTAGGGTTTCTACAATTGCCCCCCTCAGTCGGGCTTGTGAAGGAGTGGGCTGCTTGGGCTTTCGGGGTGCGAGGCACCGGAAGATGTCGAATTGCAGATGTGGCTGTTCTAGTCTAAGGCAGGGCTTTCACATGTGTGGACCTGAGTAGCTACCAAGACTCCTACATAATCGACAAAACCCGTTGTACAAGAACGGTTGAAACCAACTCAGCAACATGCGCTGCAATGTCAACCAAGCCCCATGGGATCACAAGAAAGCCCCAAATCTCAAGTTGGCACGACGAAAACTCTGAATTCTGAGCCCTGTCTCTTGAAAGTCGAGGGTGTAAGGGGGGGGGGGGGCTTTTGATCAGTTCCTGGGGCCTCGTAGGTGCAGCGGCTGGGCTCCGAGACGTCCAAGAGCTCTTCCTGCTCAGAAGAGCCGGGAGTGGGTACCCCAAGGTCACTGAAAATCCCAAAACCTCAAGTAAACCCTCATCGCCCCTCAACTAAACCCGAACCTGCGAGACGCCCCAAAACTGCTGCCGTCAATACAAAAGCTCTCTCAAGCAAACGAAACGACATCCCCACCACTGCCAGAGCGCCCAACTTACCCCCTGAGCAAGGGTATCAACCTTACATGTTCATAGGGAACCATGATACGATTTCAGAGAGATGTCTCATTTGCCAGTTTCCTGGGTTGGGTGTTCTCAAATGGTTCGGCAGGCGCCTTGGAGCCACACTGGAACTTCACTTTGAGGCTCCGCTCCTCAGGTTAGGGAGCCGCTTCGGCAAGTGTTTCCGGCAGTGGCGATGATAAAGCGTGAAACCCCGACATCCCAAAACCCCGAAGCCTGAAAGCCCTAGATGCAAAAGGCCTAGAATTGTTGAGGAGCCCTGAAACCGCAAGCCTCGATTTCAAGAGACCTCCAAGAGCTGCTTAGGGTTGAGGGTCGAGGGTAAGAAGGATCCTTGTAAAAAAGATTCTCAGTTCGCGAATCAAGGTCTACATCCTACCTACAACCCAACTTACTCAGCACCCTGTGCTCTGTCAGTACCTGCATAGACCCTCTAAGACCCATGCAACAAAAAACTACGACTGTAACTCCGCGATCCCTTCAAGGCCGCCAAGCGTCCGGGCCACCGGGACCTCCAGGATCATGTGTGTTGACGTTGAAATATGCCGAACTGTACTGTATGAAAATACAACATATTGTATTATACAGTTTATACCATCTCATACCAAATGATGTTACATCATGTGGTGTTATATGACATGCTATGTTCTATTACATTATAGTCTTATAGTCTAATCTCCCTCCCTGCACCTCAATGCCAGATTGAAGCATTATGTAAGCATGCATGTATGTACAAAGCCGACAAAGCTGTCTAGCCACATATCAACGCGAAAGGCCTCCCCTCCCTGTGCGCATGCTGGTCACACTTCGTGGAAAGATAGGGATGAGATGGGATGAGTCACGAGTCGGGAAAGCCACTGCAGTCACGTGTACGTGGCCCATGGCAGCAACCATTCTTTTTAAGTACGGTGCATCTGCATTGTTGGCACCCACGACCACCAAAACCAGCACTACTTGTAGCAACACGAGCACCAGCACGCCACTGGCTGCTACCCCGACCACCACAGATCGACTGGCCACCTCCAGCAAGCATGTTAGGGCATCGTCTTGCTGTCATTCACTGGCAACGACAGTGAGTTGGCCTTCAAGGGTGTAACTCGCCGCAAAAGCGTTCCCATGCATGCTGTCGTGCACCCGACCGGCGGTGCGACGGCTCCCCCATCTTCCACCAATGCCGCAGGTGGAGAGATGGAAACGAGCCATGGGTCAGGCCAGAACGACTGCAGTCACATCTGTCTTGTTACAATCATATGAAGGCAAATGCTAACAATTAGAAATAAAGCACACTGGCGGTCCGAAACAATGCTCGAGGTTTTAATTCGCATAACATGCAGATAGGAGCGAAACGACATGTAAAAAGCAAGAAGACCTGTTAGAGTGTTAGAGTCTGCAGTATGCACAAGCTGGGGATATACAGGGTTCAGGCTTCAGAGTGTTCATCCCGGGCAGAGTGTGTGCATCTGGCCCAGGAAGGTCTGCCTGCTCCTCTCTATCTTATCTCCCTTCTTTCGCAGGGTGGACCACCTCCCCCTCTCTCTTTCGTTCTGCTCCCTGGCTATCTCCCTCCCTCCCTGCCCGCAATGTAAGATAGAGTATGGCCAGAGCTGCAGCATGCAGCCAGAGGACAGTACTGTCCGGCATCGAAAGCTGCCAGCCCGGGGGCATCCCAGCCCTTCCATCTGCCAATGGAGGTACTGTCCTCTTCACAGGGGATTTACGGGTTGAAAAAGCTTTTATGGGCTCGGTTTGAAGGGTATCTAGTTTATGGGCTCTTGTAGGCCATTCGTTTTACTTATAGGGTGTGTCCCCTGTAGGGTTGTACCGTATTGGGTTGTGCCAGGTTTTATGGATGGGGTTTACAAAAGGGATGCGGGGCACTGCTCGATGAGTTATTCTTCAGCGAGGGGCACGAAGACCCCAACATTCCGACGCCGGTTTCCCAAGCATCTCCGCTCTCTCCGCAACGTGTCGTCAGGGGTTCGGCGCAGATACGTCAAGTGAGTTTTAGGCTTTGGGCTCTGGGGTTTCTTGCCCCAAGAAAGAGCCTCTGAGCTTCTTCTCAAGCCCTCACCCAACCAGGTCGTCTAGAGCGCACCTATCAACCTCCAAGGTCCCAACCCTTTAGAGCATTTTGGGTTTCAGGATTTTTCCCTCCTACCGAGCAAGGACGAAGCCTGCATTGGGTTTAAGGACTCGTGCTGTGCTTGGGGTTCAAAAGTTTGGGCTTAGAGTTTAGGTTTAAGGGGGCATGTTGCCCCGAACTCCCACAAAGTGGTGCAGGGCAGCCGCCTGCTTTGCATCGTCGAAGAAGCCTGGGGCTTTCAAAGTCTTTTGGGACTTTCAAAGGCCGACGAGCTTAAGGGGTGAAGGGCTGCAGGTTTGGGGCTGAGGAGATAGATTCCGAAATCTATGGCATTCAAAGTCTGACAAAGGCATCAGTTGTGGATGAGCGTCTGCACAAGCACAAAATTATTGAAGCCAAGACGTTCGGACTTCTGCTTGCACGGTGAAGCATCTCCAAAAATTAACCTCTAAAACCCGAGGCTGGCACAGATCTTGTACTTGTACTCGCCGATGCTCTTCTCAATGCAACGACCATCCAGCCCGGAGTATGGCAGCTCCCATTCTTCCGTGGTGGATTTCAGCTTCTTCTCCTTGGCTACCACAGGTATCCCCGGCATAATCGGATCCTCTTTCGGAAAGTAAAGGACCCCTGTCTATAAGCAGCCGTCAAAACCTCACAAGGGTAAGTAACCACCATATATAGCACGCGATGGCTCGACATAGGGTTTAGGATGGGTATCGAGTGCCTTTCGTGCAGAAGGGAAACAACCATCCGCCCAGATTCTATTCGTGCATTGTTCTGATCGGGCCCCGGTTAAGGCATCTAGCTTTGTTGAAATACAGGCGTCACAGCAACTAACGTCGGGATGCCACATAGGTGGAGCGGCTCCGCTTTGTTTTGGGCCCGGATCACATACATGAACTCCCAAGGCCGACAAGTTGCCAAAACTCCGAAGCCTCAACCCGCATCCCCTCAACCGTAAACCTCGGTTCAAGCATAGAAACCGTGGCCTCAACTCATCAAACTCAAGGAAAGCCAGCCCCTCGAACCCTGAAGCTGTCATAAACCCGTTTACACGTGTTTACACCGGGCTTTCGCTATCGCCTGGTGATAGCCTGGTCTAATCTTTACGACTGGGCAGACCTCTAAATTTTCTATCTTGTTGGCCAAGGAGTGGGCTTGCAAAGTCCGAACCCCAAAAAAGCTTTCGGAACCGCGCGGCCAGCTCTTCCACGCGCACGCGAGCCGTTTTCAGCTCCTTCTGGGCGGCCTCCTGGCGGTTTTCGGCCTTGCAGAGCTTTCACTTCCGTCAGGCGAGGCTTTCGAGCTACAGGCTTTCGGTGTTTAGAGCTTAGGGTGGCAAGGTTTCGAGTTGAAGCCTTCAGGGGTCGAAGGGTGTTGGATTTCGACTCGCACTCTCGTCCACTAGACTCGAGGGACTGCAGCAGCTGATAAAGAGCAAGCAAACAAAAAGGGACAGGAACAGTAATATACCGATACATCCAGACTAGCATGCCAGCTCCCAACCTGCCAGTGAAGCCGGGACTACCGAGGCACAACCAGTAGCAGCCCCGCTCACAGGCACACATGGCCCGAACTGTTTCAGAACAGTCTCAGTCCTAATGCATTTGCAGCTCACGCCGGGGCCCTGCAGACTCACATCTGTCTATTCGATTGTTGAAACCGCGATACTCATCACAGAAAGCACCCTGCTAGCAATCGCTGTAGACCAAACCCCAAGCCCTAGAACCCTAAACCCTAAACCCTAAACCCTAAACCCTTAACCCTAAACCCTTAACCCTTAACCCTTAAACCCTAAACCCTTAACCCTAAACCCTAAACCCAAACCCCAAGCCCTAGAACCCTTTTTTGCAGCAGGCCTCGTTGTCCAGCAGCCCTAGAACCCTAAACCGTGGACCGCCTTTTTTCAACCCAGCGCTGCGCCTTGTCGAGGGCGCGTTCCGCGGGACTCCGGCTGCCGAAGGCCCAGTTCCTTTCTGGCTCAGGGAGTTTGGGGGTTTAGGGTTGAGGGTGTAGGGTTCAGGATTTAGGGGGATATTTAGCCCTGGGGCTCATTATTTGGGCTTTTGCGGTTTGGGGCTTCGGGCTTGTAGGATGTAGTTTAGAAGGGGCCCAAACCCTGCAGTAGTGACTATAAGGGTTATATTCGGGCCCGATTATATTCCTATTATACCACTATTACAGGGTGGAGGCCCCTTTGAAGATGTAGTGTCTTTGGTTTAGGGTTCAGGTTGTCGAAGGTTAGCGGTTGAGCTGGAGGTCAGGAATCGGCAGCTTCTGAGGAGAAGGGATCCCAAATCCCAAAATTGAGGTAGGAACATAAGGATACGCTGTGAAACGTGATAGTGCTGCGCATGGGTCTGGCATAGATCCAGGAAAGTTGTCACACATCGTCTCCAACATAAATGGGGACCCTGATCCTCCCACGAAACACCAACGCACCTCTCGCGCTATCTCAATCGCACAATGCCGCCTGCTCTATCTTCGCAACCTTGTGATCCATCTTGTGTAACTCATTCTCCATGACTAGGCTCACGTCTCGTCAACATCCGTGTGCTCGTGTTGTCCGGGACTTGTCGCACTTATCACTCTGACCGAACTCGTCATTGCAACCCTTTGTGTCGTCCTTACAGTTATTGTCCTTCGGTTGGCTCTTTTCAGTCTCCCCTTGTCGTTTTCAGAAGTTTGATCCTCTTGACTTTGCATTCCAGTTCTGCCTACAACCGTTTTGAACACAATAATAAACCTGCACATGAGAAGCACAACCGCGATATCACCAATATGCATACAGGCCTGAAGTAAAACCATGCTCGTCACCACCGCCTCATCGACATCATCATCAGCCCGAGCGGCAGCAGCAGCATCAATCAGCATGGTCATGCTCATCCCGAATCGTCATGCTCGTCACTCGTCACGATGGTCTCCGACGAGGCTCCGGAAGTTCTGCCATTTCTCGCCCCACTTCCTCTTCACCTGCTCCCAGAACCCCATGCCCTTGCTGCGGGACGCGGAGGGCGACGGAGACCTCCTGACAAGCCGAGAGGGCTCGCAGCGTGAAAGGCCTGTTCCCTGTGGAGCTTCTAGCGGCTGTAATCTGGGGTCCTACGGTTTCGGAGCGCATCCAGAGCTTCGGGGTGCCGTTTAGCATCCATTTGAGGAGTCCCAACTTGCGATTTCAAGCCGCGGCAAGCGCAGAGCTCGGACTCTGCCAGGCAAAGATCTACATTCGCAGGCAGGACGATCCATCAGTGAGACGTAGCACTCACAGGCACTCAAAAATCAGGTGCATCCACAAACCTCCTGACCCCGCAAGCAAGCAAGACGTGGCAATTCGAGATGAGCTTCGACTTTGAGGATAAAGTGGAGTCTTAGGTCAGCTTCTAGTAAACTGTAGGATAAGCGGCCTCAGAAGCGGCCTAAGACTGAAGAAGCATAAGACGAACAGAAAACTATGATCGGAAGACCTGAGATACGATCGAAAACAACCTGAGGCCCTGGTGACAGTAAGGGTGAAACGTTTCCAGATCTCCAGCCGGGGGACGCTGGGATCGCCGGCTCGTTGTCGTCGTCCGGGAAGTCGGGTGCATCCTGCCAGACCTAAACCCCAAACCCTCAGCCTTAAAACCTGAAGTCCACGTTTGCATCAGGACTAACCCTAAACGCCAGGAGGTGCTCCGGAAGGAGCCTTCGTCAAAGAACTGGGAGGACAAAGTTGAAGAAAAGACCTAAATCACGATCGAAAAACCTGTTTATAAAGATCAAACGCTCCAAAACCACACGGGAGGAGCAGGACGTCGACCCCCAAAAAGTGCACAGCACTGCGCGCGACGGAGGAAGTTGGAGATAGAATGACTGCAGCATCCCTGGCCAAAGGGGGGAATTGCGCCATGCCAAACTGCACATGACATGCACACATGCTCGCGGCGCCAGCGTACGTCATTTTGCTTTCTAAAATTTTGGTAGTATATCTAGTATGGTATGTGGCTAGTCATGGCTAAATTCATAAACACGGTTAGCCAGCTGCAGCGTCGGAATCGCACAGGACCCCCGAAAGGTACCTGTGGTTTGAAGCCTCCCCACACCTACTTGGAGGGTCGGGGAACTTAGTACCTGGTTATTTTAAGGACTTATAAGTACCTTAACCCCAATTAGGAACCCTTTTAGGGTACTTACAAGTCTACTTACTACCTACTTACTAAGTCCCCCGACCCTCCAATTAAGCCCTTTGGGCGCTCTCGGACGACGTTCCGTCCTTGAGCACCTCGTCGAAGTCGTCGGCCTGGCGACTGCGCAGCTTCTGATGCAGATCCCTTAATGGGGGGGCTCCTATGAAGTACCCTTAGTAGTAGTCTGGTTCAAGGAGTAACTATACTGAACTTAGAACCCTAGCAAAAATTGTAATTTTAGCTGTTTCTTAGGGATTATAATAACCAAAAATTAAAAAAATATTTCTAAGTACCCCTAAGAAACAACAGCTTTGGCTCAGGAGGTGTTGGACTACATGGAGGATCAGTAAGCTGAAGCTCGCCGAAGGCTATAGCAAGCCCCGGAACTGCATTTCGGACATGGGTGGCGTTAAGTGTTAGAAAGGTTTCATGGCATGCGAAGTAACCCTAAGGAGTCGTATTTTACATTAATGCTGACCCTATGTTCAACCACCCCAGGCTCCCACCTCAAAAGTTTCTGATCTCTTCGACGTCCTGAAACCACCCACTCGTCGTGCATGCAGCGCTCCTTAGGGGAAGGGGAGGTTGCGCCTCCGCCAGCACTTTCTCCGCACCGTCCATCCACTTGCCTAAGGGCTTAGAGTTCATAGCAGAGTTTAGGGTTTAGCGTTCAGAATCTGCTAGGGCTTAGGCTTGAAACTTGGGCTTAGGGTTTGCAAGTTGAGTTCGGGTTTGTCCCAAAGCTTGCCACATGCCCCACCGAACCTCAACCAACGAACCTGGAATCCTCAAAAACTGAACGGGATTCTTCCAAACCACAGGCTCAGGCCAAGCCATACACCTTAAAACATTGCATCCTGAACCTGAAAACGGATGCAAGGCGGCTGTACTCGGAGACCTCCGGCTTCGTCTCCGACGCCTCCTTAGTTTGCCAAGCTTGATCTTGTGACTACTATCAGTACTGAAAATATTGTTACTTTATTCTGTGATCAACATTCATACATAATAAGACTATCATCATGATTTACATTAATATTAAGATTATCATTACTGGTAAGAAAGTCATGACAAAGCGCCCCATAAAGGTAGTGCTTCGTAGGGCGGAATCACGCATCTTGCCGCAGGTGCTCATTGAACTCCGGAGGGGGCTCCCCATCTTCAAGATGCCCCAAGTTTGGTGTTTAGGGCTTAGGGCTTAGGGTTTTACGGCTCTGGGCCCGGGAAGTCACGTGAAAAAATGCCAGCATCAGCCCATCCCCTCCCCACGGCAGCAACAAAAAAAACTCGAGTACAAAGAAGACCCTGGGCTGCTCGACCTGAACTCTCGAGGTGCGCCCAAGCTTCCTCAAGCACCTTCTCGGCACCATCCATCCACTTGCCTCGGGCTTTAGGGAATTTAGGGCTAGAGCATTCGGGATGCCCCATTGTCAAAACCCTGTTATCCTAAAACATATTATCGAGGATCCCTGCGGTTTCTGGTGAACTCCTTAACTAAGTGCATTTAGCGCCCAGACTTGGGATCCCTCTCGACTTTGAGCTTGAATCCTTACAGGAGTGCTTTAGGACTATAGCAGGATTCCCTAGACTTAACGAACTCTATTCCAACCCGCTCCCTTTCCGGTGTGGGCTCGGCCTCACCAGAGGGGTTGAGGCCGGCAATTCCAAGACAAGCAGACCACTCCGAAGGACTGAAAACTGAATGAAACCAGCAAGTGTATTGATGCGGACACTCGGACAAAGCCAGACAAGGCTGCAGACAAGTCAACACAAGAAGGCGGAACCGCTAGAAGTGCTGAGTCGCACCCCTGCTTTGGGAGTTTGGTGCGTGCGACGTCCCAATCTCAGCTCTTTGGCGCAGAGGCGCTGTGTTCGGACACGACCGGCTTGGCCTCCTTCGTAGCCCAATTACTGGGGAGTTTCGAAGCTCGTGCCCTGTCTTGCTAAAAAGGGAGACTTGGCTGAAGATTCGATTCAGATCGTAGGGTCGTTCTTCGGCTTTGTGATTCATATCCGATGGGCTCAAAGCCCCGAGAGCGCTGGAACGTGTCCAAAATCGTTGGGAACAGTGCGTCTCAAGCCAATCCACGTGGTCCCTACAGTAAAGGGCAGAAATTCTCTCATCCTCAAAGAGAGAGGCCTGAACCCCCCGATACACTAGATCGACACCTCGCAAACTCACAAAAAAAAACCATACCCTGAAAGAAAGCCCTTCCACGAAAATCCCGACGAGCCTCCCCAAAATCCCTAGACTCCTTTTTGCATCGGGACTTGTGCAATCGCCTGAAGGTTTGAGCAACGAAACTCTTTCTTCAGCACGGACTGAGGTGCCAAAACCTTAAACCCTAAACCCTAAACATTAAACCCTAGCCAGCTCCTTGGCCTCGGCCTCCACGGCTTTCACCTGGGACTCGAAGGCCTCCTCACAAGAGGAAGACGACGAGGGTTCCATAAGGGTTTTGCGTTTTAGGGTTTTTTGTTGCACGACCCTTTTCCGTCTTCTCACTGGGCGTTTGGTCTCAGGGTTTAAGGTTTTGTGTTTCTTGGGCAGGCAGGGTCTCGGGCTATTCTTAATTACCGACACGCGTTCGGCTTACTAGGAAGGTTCTGGAACTAGGGCCTTGGCGCTTCGAGATGTTGCGTGAGGGGCTGCAAATAAGTTCCTGAGGACTTTTCGGCTTGTGCCCATGGTTGCCTCAGGGTTTGAGTTGCTGAGTCCCACTTTTCCTTTCGAGCCACACCAAGCCCTGTGTTGTAGAATCCTCAGCAGGAGCTGTTGGGATTTCTTACCGTACAATAATCGCAACCTGTGTAGACACCCGTATGGTAACACATATAGCCTTGTGTGAGATCCTGACAGAGAACCAGCACCCCGAAAGGCTCAGCCTGCGTGGCACCTCTCGGGATATTTTGAAGGTTCTTGGGGTGCCCTGGTGCACCGGCGCGCTCCTGCACCTCGTCGGCTGGAGCCGGGGCTGCCGAGGCGTTGTCCTCTGTCCTGGATCCCATGTTCCTCTAAATGCATCTGTAAGTGTTACCAAGGGTGTACTATAGGCGCCTTAATGCTTCAGAATCTGCCTCGGGATGTGGTCTGCTTCGAGTTTGGCGTCCGGTTTTGTTGTTCGTCGGGGAGGCCAGTATCAGAAGCAATCTACGGCTCTCAGCGTCTACATTTGGTTTCGTCTAACGCTTCCGAAGGTTTGGCTGCAGTTGGCTTCTTTACAGGCTTGGTGGTGCAGGTGTCGGCGATTCGGTGTCTGGCGAACATGCCTGGCTTTGTGATTTTTATGGCGTTGGGGAGCTTAGGTTTTAGTAAGACCCGTTTAGTCAATAGGTCAGTCATCCTCAGCACGGCTGGTGTAGCCTGCCCCACAAGAAGAAACTGAATACCCTCACAACACCCAGACTACTCCCAGACTGTCAACGATGCCACCTATATTTGTGAAGCCGTTCTACCCAACATCTTGTGAACCCAGCGCAATACGAGAAAAACTGGAAGCAGTGGCTGAACCCTCTTGCACACAAGAACTTTAATCTCAACAAATGCGTCCAACCCAAAAACTCGCAGTCGCCATGTCCCGAAAACCACTATATATAGATCCCTCATAGATCCCCTTCACAGGGGCTTCTCGGAATTCCGTCGTCAAAGCCTTTACCCTACACCTTCAACCCTGAACCCTAAACCCTTTTTGAACGAGGTCTCTCTGAAGCCTTTTTGACACTGAACCCTAAACCCGAAACCTCTAAACCCCCCAATACCCCCCTTCTTGGGCCCAGCGGCGCGTTCGCCGCGCTCTGCGCCGTGGCCTCCGCGGCCACGGCGCGCTTCGCCTCCTCGAGCTGGGCGGTGGCCTCCTCTGCGGGCTTATGGGGTTCGGGGTTTAGGGCTATCATGTAGTATAATGTACTATAACATACTATCATCGTTTCCTTGTGTAGTATGCTATAGTATACTACAATAGGCTCTGGGGGTTCAGGGTTAAGTGTCACGTGCTGAGAGTTTAAACCGTTTCGGATTTAGGATTTTTCGTGCCTCCTGCATAACTGATCGAGTCGCTAGGGAGGGTCTATGAGATTTTATCTCACATGCCACTTCCTCCTCAGAGGTACCCAGCAAGACTGTGCAGCCTGACTAGCAAGCTGTGGTTGAAATTGAAGTTCAGGATCTAGGCTTAGGGCTCAAAGTTTAGAGTTTAGGAATTCGTTGAAGCTTTCTTAAAGGGTTTGCGAGGGTTTATGAAGTTTTTTCTGGGAGGATTTGTTTATGGATTAGCCGGTGTAGCGCATGTCAAGTGTCTACCGGCGCAGGGGCCTTTCTTGTTTACGCTCTCGCAACTCGGACTTGCCAGACGAGGTCTCTCGGTGCGGGTCGGCTCTACTGCCGGATCACTCAAGGCCCTGAGTAAAAACACACAACCAAGGTAGTGCCACGCAGTACGGGCCTCGAGCTGTTCGGCACACTGTTCAACACGTCGAACTGCAAAGCTTAGAGCTCAAGGCTTTAGTGCTTCTATCTTGACGATGAGGGGTCTGAGCAAGCAGGTTTAAGCTTCGGACATAGGCCAGGCAACTCCAACCTGACCACACTTCCAACCTACTTGTCAGGTCCCATGATCGGTTTGGGGCTGACAACTGGGACAGTAAGGTGAGGTGGCTGGCAATGGGAGAAGGCTGCCTGCCCAAGAACTAGCGCTTCTCTTGAGACTGTCGGCATTAAGGCACAGCACTTGTTCCAGGGCTTCGGGTTCTTGAGCAACCGGAAGCCCTCCAGAGTATTGTCGAGGAAAGCCCCTGATGATGCTACGTTCCACGGCTGAACCCGAAACCCAAGCCTAAATCCCGAAGCACTCAACCTGAAATTCCAAAAAGGTGCGGTCCTGCACAGCACCTTCCAGGTCTGGGAGCTGTGCCTCTGGAGCCAAGCTAGAGTTTCGGGCCTAGGGCTTCTAGGCCCAAGGAGCTGGAGGGTTTTTGTAGGGCTGAGGGTTTAGGGAGGTTCTCAAAGGGCGAAGGTTTAGGGCTAGAAAAGTTCAGGGCCGAAAGGGTCTCGGACTTCAAGTTTTCAAGATAAGGCTCTGCAAACCCTATCACCTACGCCAAGCCCGAAGGAAAAAGGCTTCAGCTCAAAGAGGGTTTTCGGGCAGTTGAGCCTCGGGATCCGGTGCAAGCGCGAAGGATGCAAGGACTTCAGATGCAAGGGCTATCGGGACGCGTGGCCTGAGGCGCACGTTTGGGGTGTATGTAAGCATGTATAACTCTTTAACTAGCCAAGGAACACTACTCACTACTTAAAAGAAACAACAAGGAAGGAGATTAGTAGCCGCCGTCACCACCAACGTACCACACATGTGTGTACATGCATGTGTGTGCATACGACTAGATATAGATATGTAACTACATATGTATACATACATACAGACATTCAGACATACAGCGCCCGGGCGGGCCAACCACCTCTGCGGAACGGCTTGGGCCTTCAGCTTCGCTGAAGGCCCAAGACATTCAGCTTCGATGGTTCTGCATGTTCGCCCTCAGTCGGTTCGCCGCCTCCCCCTACGGAATTGTTGGGTGCAGCCTAACCCCAAGTTCAAGCTGAATCGGAGAGGGGGGGCATACTATTGGGGGGAATGGGCGCCTGGCGGGGGGTCGCAGAACGTACCACGGACAACATATATATATATATATACACATATATACATATATATATATATATATATATATACATATATATATATATATATACATGTACATATACACTTATATCTGTCTATATATATATATATATATATATATATGTGTATATGTATATGGGGTATACACGGGTATGAAAAGATATGTATGTATACATATGTACCTATACATATATGGACAAGATAGATAGATAGATAGCGAATAAATACTTGGATAGCTGTACTTCATATATATATATATATATACATATACATAGATACATGTATATATGGATACGCGTATATGTGTGTGTGTGCATATACGCAGGCATATCTCCCGCTCCCTCCGCTCCTGAAGCTTCCGAAGCTCCTCCTCGGCCTTGAGCCTCTCGGCCTGTTTCGGGGAGCGCAGGGCCGCGCTGGGCTTCTGCTTGGACGCCCTTGGGTTTAGGATTTTTTTTAGACGACCCTTTTCCATGGGTTTAGGGTTTAGGGTTTAGGGCTTCGGCGCTCACACTCGGAAAATCCAGGTTTAGGGTTTAGGTAGGGCTTCTCTGGTGTTCTATGCGGCTTTGCAACGGTTTCTACAGGGTTTTGAAACGATTTAAAGGTAAAGGGTTTTGGCGCTCACACTCGGCAACATCGGGCGAGGTCTTGAGGCAATACGGGACTGGTTCCAACAGGTAAAGGGTTGTAGGGTTTGGGGTTAGGGCTGGGACGCACCGCAAGCCATTGCAGACTGAAGGGTTGCAGGTTTTTTTGGGTTGAGCTTTGAAGGTTGTGGAGGCTGAACTATGTTCATTATCACGTTTTCACTATTGCTTTGAAACCCTGCAGAATTTGAGAAGCCTGCCTTCGCAGTGCTGATGAGGCTCTCCCGCTGCCTTGGATGCGGGGCTTCGGAGATCGGGGAAAGGGCTCTCTTACACACAGACTCTGTAGGCCATGTCCTGCATGCGAAAAGGAAATGGTTCGTGAGGCGGATCTACTATAGTCCCTGGAGCTTCAGTGCTAATTACTCAGGCCTCTCTATTCTAACCAAAGCTGCTTAATGCCGGCGTGGAGGTCAGCAATCTGCCGGCTCCGTTCTTTGCGGAGAGCTCGGCCCTCCTCGAAAGACCAAAGGCTCTCGTTTCTGCAAGGTGTGTCCAAAGGGTGTTTACATGGTTTCACAAGTCGTCACACGGTTTTTAAAACCTTCTACAAGGGGGTTGGGTTCAGGGTTGAGGTCGGCAAAAAGCCCGGTCAACTTACAAAGGCCGCCTTCGATGATTCACATGATCAAGAGTAACAGATGCATACATACACATATATATATATATACCTATAGATGTATGTGCATATAGATCTATGTCAGTATACACTAGAAACACACATCCTGAACTCAGCACTAAGTATCCCCTCCATAAGGTGAAGGTTTAAGGGGAGGAGCCCCAATACAAGGCTTCGTTTAGCTTGCAAAAGATAACCATTGACTGGAATCTCTAACTCTAACTTTCGCTCAGGAGAACGGATGTCCAGGTAAGGGCTTAGTTCGGGGCCCAGGATTTAGCTCAGGATTTGGGGATTGGCTGGTGCACTGAATCGTTCTGACTCAGCTGCGGGACTTCAGACAGCAAAAATCCCTGGCTAGCCCCAGACTGAAGACTCTCCTCTGCACAGGTGTTGGGACAAGTGATCTGTCTCCGCTCAGCCTGCCGTGTGCAGGATGGGAGGCTTCCGAGGGAGAGGCAGGAGAGGTTTCGGCGGTTTTGAGGATTAGGCACCGGGTTCGCCCTTCCTGGGTTTCGAGGGTGCGTCTTCTGTGAGGAGCCAAACGAAACCACTAAGCCTAAGAAAGGAACGAAATTCAGCAATACCCGAACCTAGAGACTCCAATACCCCTTAACTAAGGAATATACTTTAAATTATAGTAGGATCCTTAACATGATTTAAGGAATATTCCATAATTAAGGGAAAAATCGAGTCTCTGGGAAGTAAGCCCTTCAGTCTCTCGGCCTGCCACTCATCGCTGCCATCGCAGCAGTCGCAGACGCCATCGTTCACTCGCGAGGCGTAGATGTACAACGGGTCGCTCTGGTCGTTTGTACCTCGGGGGCGAAAAATGTTCAGGAAAGTCGCACACGGGAATGCGACAGAACCCAAACTGCAGCAGCACCTTGTCCTTGTCAGCAAGGTGGTGCTCCAAAGTCAAGCTCAACACAGAAGCCCAAACCTGAACCCCAGACCCATCATTAAATCATGACCCCAACACCCCAAGCCCTGAACTCTGGATCCGAGACCATATGGCTGTTGACAGAAATCTGGGCGCCCCGGCAGTAGTACAGCGTGCTGCTGAAGCCCGCGCAGGCTTCCTCCGTCTAGCTTTGGCTCCGCTACTTTTTCTCAGGGTCGAAGGTCCCAGCGACTCCAGCCTCCAAAAGCCCCCCCTTTTATGAAGGAATGCAACATAGGCTAGAGAGGGGGACTTTCAAGCCTCTTCAGTTAAAACACAGACCTTAAACTGTAGCGTGATCCTTGATCTGATCTAAGGCATATTCCTTTAACCAAGATATGGCAGTTTCTGTACCATACCCCAAAAAGTAAGCATCCTTTTCGATCAGGCCTTCTCCATCTGGACGCTTTTTTTTTGCAAAAAACACCCGTGCTAGAGCCCCTGGACCCACTCTGCAGGCAAAGGTGCCGTACCCGGCTCGTCGCTGCCATCCTTCCAGGGTGCTTTGGCTTCTTGGCTCCGGGAGGAGTGGGACGACCACCAGCCCCTCCAAAGAACAGGGACACCAACAACAACAATAGCTTAGAAGGGGCCCCCACCCTGTAATAGTGGTATAAAAGGAATATAAAAGGGCCCTAATATAATCCTTATAGTCACTTTTACAGGGTGGTTGGGTATCTTCTAAACAATAGCCTTCCAAGCCGGATAGAACCAGTGGCTAGACAACCCCGATCTCCCACAGCAGAAGGCGCGGATGGTTGAAGGTCTACTTCAAGACCCTGGTGCTACTCACTCTCACTTTAGCTACCGTACCTTACCAGCCCACGACTTTTCAGGCAAGGCTCTGATTCTAGGCTACGGTCACGCAACTAGTCTGCTACACGGCTGGAATAAGCAACCCAAAACATGCCACATGTCAGCCCCAAGGTTTGCAGCGATTTGGATGCATCAGCCTCTAGCACTACTTGGAGGTTCATGGGTAGTTCTAGTGGAGTTACAAGTCCCCTGATATGGCTTATAACCACAGTTACCCTACTTATAATCCCACTTATAACTACCCATGAACCTCCAGTAGACCTTCAACATCATTGGCCTCGCAGTCACAGAAGTCGTCGTTCACCGCTTCGGACGGCAGCTGCCGGCCATCGCCTCCGGAGGTGCAAGGCTTCTTCAAGGCTTACTATACGTGAATATATATATATATATATATAGATAGATAGATAGATAGGTACGAAAGTATGTATGTAGTTATATGTAGGAATATATATATATATATATATGTATATATATATATATGTAAGGCTGAGGTTTCAGGGTTATTGTATGTCGGTTTGTTTACGGTTGCGACCCCAAATTCAGCGATTAGCAAGCAAAACTGAAGCTTGGACCCTCTCTAAACCCCACACTCCACCCCCCTAAACCATAAGCCCTAAACCCTCAACATGTTCAACCTTCTTGGCTAATTTTGGACATTCGCCTCGCGGAGTGGAACTGGAAGTGCAGGAACACAATCGGATATCCATAAACCGTATACCCAGTTTAAAAATCTTCAAATCCTGTTCCACAGATCAGTAGCCCTGCCAAAAGTAGCCGGGGCCCCGGCAGGCAAAGGTTGCGGCAGCGTACTGGGCCTTAGGCTTAGATGGTCACTAAGCAGATTCGATAGGGAGTGCTTCGGAGCAGAAGAAAGATGCAACGTGATTTCAGGAACTCAAGCTTTCCAGCCTTAGACCAACCACACTCCAAAAAAGCTGAAGATGAGGGGCGCCTGCTTCGCCAGCATCAGAAGCGGACTTCCAGTGGCTCTGATCGCGGGATAAGAAGAAGATCATCTGTAACGACAAGAGTGGGAATGCGATGTGAAATGCCCATAGCCCGACTTATGACTAAGCTTGTGCTTTCAAGCAAGCCTTCAACCTCCACCTACAACACTTCCATCTGCCGTGTGCAAGCTAGCAGCTTGCTCCGCCGGCGCGACTCCGCCTCAATATTCTGTTATTAATTAAAAACATCTGCTGTTGATTAAAAACATCTGTTAAAAAACAGTTTTTGTATTAAAAACAGAAAGTCGGGTGCGATAGTATGGGGTTTCGGCAGCGTCCAGCGGGGGGAGTTGGGGTCTTTGGATTATCAGTGGTGTTGCTTGGGTTGTATACCCATGCTCATTTGCTGGGGGCAATTTGTTACAACAAATTATAGTATGGTATATACTATAACATATCCCACGCCCCTGTCTGATTGTGAAGGTCCCTATCTCAACAATCGCGACTCCATTCCCTGCCCTCCTGCCATCACAGTTCATGGTCCTCTCTGGGAGTGCCCGGCTCCAAAACCCCAAGTCGTCAACCCCAAAGCCTTAACCCACCATTATCATGATATATATATATATATATTATAACTACTACTATTATTTTTGTTGTTATTATTATTACTATGGTTGTTCTTGCTAGTGTTGCTGCGCTTATGATTTTCTACTATTCGTACGTCTCATGATTATGAGTACTATTGCAACTGTCATCAATACTACTAGAAGACCCCTACAACTTTCAACAGGCCAAACTCTGAACCTTTGCAACTCCAGAAGCTCGAAATTATAACGACTATTACTGTTACTATTATCATTATCATTCTTATTATTACTATTAGTATTACGATGGTTATTGCTATGATGACATCCCCAAAACCCAAAGACCGCCCCAGAGGCCCCAGAGGCCCCCACAGCCCCACAGTCCCAAAAGCGTCAAAGCAAGGCTGCGTGCCCGGAAACCGAAGGGATAAAACAACTCCAAAGGGATCACTATGTGGAAAAGCCATACAGTGCATCAAAAAATTAGACTACATAAACATGCAGACACCCTCTAAAACAATAAACCCCTACTACAACACAACGCCTAAAGCCTAAACTTACGAAACCCATCCAAACGCAACCCTTGCAGCCCAGGCCGCGAATCTCCGCCTCGGCAGCGACCAAGAGGGCTGCCAGCGCCCCGGCCCGGGCCATGTGGGAAGCTCCGAAAGATTAAAAGAGTGAGCTATCCTTTCTCTAGGTTTCCCTGTTTTGGGGATCTTCTTCTTGAGATCCTTCAGCAGCTTTGTTTTTCAGGGTCAGGTACACCTATAAAATTTTGGTGTGTTCCTCACATAAGGGATTTCACACCAAGTTTTGTTGAATTTTTCCATTGGGATTTCAACGAAGGGGCTAAAAGCTGTAAAGGGATTGTACAGGCTCCTCAATCAAGGAAAGCTTGTTGAAGCTCTGGGAGCCCGGAACCCGGTGGGATCACAAGCAAACGTTTCTTTAAAGGCCCTTAGGCCTGCAAACAAGTGCGTGGCCTGCCAGAGCCGCCCGAAGAAAGCCGCTGACGGACTCTGAACGGAACTTAGTGACTTATATAGTCCTGCTTTGGTGATGTTGCGGGGCGCTGCTGTGTGAAGCTTCTCCTCGTTTTTAAGCTCTCGAAGCAAGCTGATGGCAGGATCCAATAGTGTCCGCTGCAACCCCGTCAAGGAAGACAAGCGGCCGGGCCCTCTACAAAGACAGCTTGGAGCCAAAAGTGCGGTGGGTGGAACATGTCGGGTCAGCCACCCTTCTTTGACGAGGCTTCGAGAGTTCGGCGAATCCCGGCTTTTCAAGGAAACACTCTGCTTCATGCTCGAGGTTTGCAGGTTTAGGATGCTTCGGTGTACAAACCCTGCGAGAAGCCAAACACGGGGTCGGAACTGGAAGCACATGGGCCGAAGTTTCAGTTTCGGGTTGCGCATAGACCGCAAGACAACAACAGTAGCACTGCATCCCACAGCTCTTCTTAGGACAAACCCTTCAGCGTTGAAGCCCAAGCCTAGCAGCCAAAGATTATTTGTGGCCTTGTAGGACAAGCTTCAGTGCTTTGCACAGAAGGAAACGTCAGAAAGATGGTTTTTGGCCTTGTTTTAAGTTGGAAAGCTTTTTCTTCGGGCTTACGGCCTTCGAGGTTTTGGGGCATAGGGTCTTCCTGAGATTTCCGTGGGACCGGGACGTCTCCTCCTCGCGCAAGTGCCGCACCAGCTTCAGGAACTCGCCCTGTACCGGCTGCGGAGCTAGAAAGCTTTGTCGATTTTGCTAGTCCTGAAGGATTTAGGGCATTTTGTGGGTTGGGCATTGGTGCCTCGAGGAATTCCGGTTCGATTTACATGTTTGTAGGATTTCTACTCTTACGCACGCAGAGCCATCGCCCAGAATGGCGGCAAAAGAACGTCATTGGCTTGGATCTGTTGCGCAATGTTCAGTTGATCTTGCACATCAATACTGCCACCGCCACTGTACGGATGACCCCGTGTCACGACTGATTGGTCCACAAGAATGGAAACAAAAACATTTAGAGAGGCTTGGATCTGCAGCGCATGCTTCGATTGATGCCGCACCGCACTGCTATCACCACCTGAGGAAGAGTTGCCCCAAGTCACAACAGATCCATCGTCAAGAATGCTACAATCACCCCCGGGCGTAATCATCACACCAGGCCACAACCGATCCATCACCAACAACGGCAGCGAAAGCACCGTCCATGGCAGCTTGGATTTGCTGCACATTCTGGAGCTGCTTCTGCACGACACCCAGCATCAGGATCATGCCAGGTCGCGACAGACCGTTCGTCAAGAATTGCGGCAAAGCCGCACGCAGAGGCTTGGATCTGTTGCACGCCCTTCAACCCACGTTGCACAGAGCTGCTGTCAGCTTGACCCCAGCTAACGACAGATCCGTCACCAAGAATGCCGGCAAAAGCAACACGAGCTGCATCGATTTGAAAACTACTGATATGCCAGGTCAGGGAGTCGGCTGCAGGGTCCTTGCTACCTGCAGGGTCCTTGCTACCGGCTGCAGCTCTTTGAGGATTCGAGCGTGCTCCAAACTTCTAGGAAAACCAGCACTAAATATCAACGCACAAAAACTAAAAAACGTACCAGCACTGCAAGAAGGTGGACGGAGAAGGGTTTTACGGCACCTCTTGCTAAGCACTCGCTGTGCTCAAAACCTTTCAAAACCCTACAACACCCTGTAGGACTGTTGATTGCTTAGGCGAGCGTTAACACATAAAACGCCCCTCGCAGGAGTCTGGAGAAGGTCGGCAGCCTCGTGGATCGCACCTGAAAGTTCGGGCAGGCAGAGCCTTGGGTTGTGTAGAGTACCGAGGTCCTGTGGCGAGAGGTTCGATACGAGGGCTCCAAGGGTTCTGCAGGTGTCATTCAAGGTTCTGCTCTACAACGTGTTTGTTCGGGTGCTACAGGCTGCCACAGAAGCTTTGCAGAGGTTAAGGGATCAGAAGGTTTGAGCATCGGAGCAACTCGGGGTCCAAGACCACCTCCCTTCACCCGGGGGAATGTAAGCTTTAGCAGAAGTCCGGGGCTTGAGTCTATTGCCGAGACTTCGGAGCTGTCGCAAACTTTGCAAGGCAGTGCAGGTGGGAGGGCTCTTGGAACGCAGGGATCCTCGGGTCTTGCGGCCTATGGCTTCGAGCAGGGCTGAAGATTTTACGGATCGCAGTGTCGAGCGTTTGCAGTCTTGTGTACGTATCTAGCTGCCGACCTCCCTGGTCGACCTTCAAGGTGTGCACGCATGCCTGCATGCATGCATGTTGTATACATTACATTACATTACCATACTACCCTGCGCAGCTACCTATGTACGTATAGCCATGTATACATAGAAACACATGGAATTGTAGAAAAGACTAAGTGACGCATACCTCCATCCCTGCGTCCAACCCGGCATGCAGACGTGCAAGCCCGCTGGCCCCAACAGCAGCAGAAGCAGCGGCAGCCGCAACATTGGCACCACACCCTACCGCCACCATGATTCTCATCATGATCATCTTCTTCAACATCATTTTTACTATGACCATCATCATCATCAGCCCTTTTTGCTACTGGACTCAAGTCTAGCCAGTCTACGACCTGCAATCATCTTGACTGAGGCCGACGCGAAGCACCGATACCCAAGCATGAACAGCCCCTTTTTGCGACTGGACTCAAGTCTAGCCCATGATCAGCCCCTAAACCCGAAACCCTTTTGAACGAGGTCTGTCCGAAGTGTCTCCAAAGTGTCTCCAAATCCCTAAACCCTCGAAACGGCTCCAGCAGAGGAGAGGTCTTGGCCCCCTGTTGAGCCGAGCCCTCGGCCACTCTTGTCCAGGTCCACCCGGCACCAAAGCTGCCGGCGCCGCTGCGTGGAAAGGGGATATCCGAGCCTGGGCTCATAAGGGGGGAGAGGGCGTGGGGGGACTTTGGGGCTCATGGGTTTCAAAGGGTGTTTCAAGGCTGATGGCTTTAGACGACGTAAGAGAAACCGGGTTCTGAAGGTTTTCAGAGAATTCGCTCAGTATCTTCCACACTGCCGGGGATTGCAAGTCGATCTTTAAGGGGTTTTTTCGGCTGCTGCAGTAAGAAGGTGTCGGGTTGGAGGTTTCGGGTTTACGTCTTGAGCGAGCTTCAGCAGTTTGCCAAATGTCTACACCAGGAAACTAAAGCCCAAAAGAGCTGCAGCCGAAATCCTACGCTCTGTTTGACAACAGGTAGAAATTGCACTGCAAATCCAATACCTCGCTACACCCGACATTTGACTACGGCAGCTCTCTTTACGAGCGAAGGCCGCCGCTACAGTGAGACACCCCAGAAGTGTCCAGATGAATTGGAATCCCTGCAATCTGCACATCTGGCTCCCAGGGCTGCCTGTTTTTATCTGAACACTTCACCGTAAAAGCAAAGCATTAAGGTAGACCTAAACACCTCCAAAGCCTTTGTATAAGAAACGCGGCAGTTCCCTGATACGGCCTTTACGATAGACAACAGAACTGCCAAAACCCCCATCTTAAGGGTTGGGCCAGCTGAGCGCGCGAGTCAGCTCAAACTCCCGGAGCTCATCGCGGCCCTGGGAGTAGAGCTTCTATAGGATTTTAAGGATCGCTTTTTGAGGTTTCGGGTTTAGGCCTAAGGATTCCTACGTCTGTGGAGTTCTTCCGGGGCTTCTTTAGCCTTTATCCTGACGTGGCGTGTTGGGTCCCGAGGGCCTTTTTTCAAGCTTCATGCGATCCTGCAACAGGATAGCTGCTATGATCAGCATTTCTGAGAAGTGGTTGTGGGTGCCTGCATGCCACTCCGTTGTTCATCCGTGGAGGCGGTTCGGAGCTTGGAGGCCGGGCTTTGTGAACAAGAAGCATGTGGCACAAGAAAGCTCCACTCGGGTTCAGAGTTCAGGGATCTCGGTTTTCGGGTGGCGTCGCGAGCTCCACACGCTGGGGCTTGTTCATGTGCCGTGCTGGCATCAAGCTGCGACTATGGGGATGCTTCGCTTCCTTGCTTCTGTTATTCTTCGGGCTTTTTTCGGCAAGGTCGGCGCTTCGCGGCTACAACTTCTTCGGCTTCGTCTACAAAGATGGCAACCAGATGGGACGCGGGTGAAGTGGCCGATAGCTTTCTAATCGGGACTTCAGCCTCGTGGTGTTGGTTTAGGATTAAACCTTCAAGGAATTACATAGAGCGTTTCGAGACGGTGGGGTTTGCGGCTTCGGGCGGGGACTCCTCAAAAAGCACCTGAACTAAACCGTGAAGCCTTGAACGCTTGCAAAACAGTCCAAAAACCCTTCCAACTCACGAGCCCTGACAAAAACCTGTTGAACCCTACAAAACGCTGCCAAACCCTCATAAAATCCACAAAGCAAAACGTTAGGCCAAGATTTGAGGATTTAGGGCTCAGGGTTTAAGGTCAGCGCTGCCTTAGAGAAGGCTCATCCCCACAGTCCCCAATGTCGCAAAAAGGCATCAAACCTGCCCTTGCGAGATACAGACGATGTCTAGCTGTGCGAGTATACAAGCATGCACGCACCTACATACCAACACAGTCTTGTCAGTGCAAGTCGAGCAAACATTTAAACCAATACCCCAAATGCTATCCACGTACACATGCCTATAATTGCCTATACACTCCTATACAGAGATATGTACAAAAATCCTTTCTACGTCATATTG